GAATGATGCGTTTTGAACTACCGGATTTACAAAAGAAAGAAAGCAACGCCAAAGTGGACAATTCTTCTGAACAACCTGAAGAAGTCCAAAAGGCAACATCCAGACTCGGACTGATGAGACCATATAAGCCATACCCCACCCAAGGTCCAGAATTCATCTGGTCTGGATTTATGAACAATCATCTTCTCTCCTTAACCAAGTGGGCAAGGAAAATTCCACTTATCCATGAAATTATGGAGAGGACATGGAACACTGTTCCACCAAGGGCCTAGGATGGGACCATGCCACGTTTGGATTTAAGAGGAGATTGTGGACCCCCTGTATGAACAATCGACCACTCGACAGTGTTCATAAGAGGATCCAAGCACACCCCCACCAGATAGCTAAGCATCAACTCTGGACCAGATTTTACGAGTAGGCTCCCATGTAGGTTGGTCCTGCTCCTACCGACATCTGGGAGTGTCCCCAACTTCGCCCTCTTTTCCAAGAGTGGAGAAAACTCAACAAACACTCTGAAGGAAAATCCTCTGTCCACCACCCCCAGAAACTTGGAGTTGGATGTGGTAAGAACTCCCTAGCCCCACTAGTAGAATTTGGGGGGGGGGACATGTGCACGGTGGGGAGCCCCGAGGAACAGAACTCCGGAGACAGTGCAACAGGTGAACCACTAAGTTTTTAAAAGCAAACCAATCTTGAATTATGAAACTTGAAGACTTCCTGATGTAACATCCATTCTGTTGGAAGAATCTGATGGGGTCGAGAAAGATGATCTACTATCAAATTCATAACCCCTGCCACATGACAGGCCCAAAAGACGGTTGTCATGGGAATGAGCCCAATAAGGAAGATCAAAAGCCCGAAAACAAAGACCTCAAAAATGAGTATCTCCCTGACAAGAAAGATACGATACCACCATAAAGATGTCTGAATGGATCCTGAAAATTTTGCCATGCAAGAGAGGAAGACCTTGAATCATCACTCGATGTACTGCAAGAAGTTCAAGAATATTGATATGCAGGATAG